GCGCCTGTGTTCCAACATTTCTGTTTTCTCCAAGCTGTCTTCAGTCTCTCACCTGCTTTTCTTGCCACATTCTGGAGCTGACTAATTTGCCTTAAGCTTTCTTCTTAGGATGGAAACTGCTCTCCTGTTTTCACACTTCCATTTGTTTGGTTTTTAGTAGTAATGTTTTTTTATTCTGTACCTATATCACTTAAAACTTTTAAATAATAAAATTAAACGAATTTATTTTCTAATAATAGAACACTATACTTACAAGCAATAAACAGAATTCTACTGTATACTTCATTTTCAGCTATGGGCATGTATGTTCTTTATATACATGTCCATAACTGACATGTGTGCGTCCTATTGAGCTACACTTCTACCAAGCACAAAAGTATTAGTTTTATTATGCCTTATTAATGAGATTTGCTTTTATTTTGTTTTTTGTTGTGGTGTGCATCCCCGCAGACAAGAAGAGCCCGACAGTAACTCTGAATGTGTCCGACCAGAGGCTGCTAGAGGCCAGCCAACAGTTCCAGAAGAAACAGGGGAAGGGCACAGTGGATGTCTGGTGGCTGTTTGATGATGGAGGTGATTGTTAGTTATATTATTGTGCGACCGTTATTGATCTCAAAATTCTCTATTTGGTCTGTTATTAAAATACTGTCATACTGAACAGGTTCATAAGTATTGACATATTAGGTTACTTGTTTACTGAACCATGTACAAGTTTAGGTTAGTTTTGGGTTTTTTTGGCCTGCATCAGTTGGACATGTAATATACTCACATTTACTTTTAGGGCTGGTTGATATGAGGAAAATCTAATATCACAATATTTTTGGGGCTAAATCACAATACACAATAAATATCACGATATGTTTAAATAACCTCCATAAACAAATGTTATTTTCAACCATATAGTGTGTAAAATTGCACTTGTATACTCATTCAAATCAACCAATTAAACCTTTTTCTACTTTGAATTCAAAAAATCTGAATGAATTGCAATGTTTTAACCATTTTCTAACCGTCAGTTGCAATACTGTGACAGTAAGTCTCTTTCTGTGGTCAACATGAGACCAAACAAAAGATCATAGCAACAAAAAAGTCCAAGCATTCATGAGACACTCATAATCCACTCTCTCTGAAGTAATTGCATTACTAGACTCTTTCTCGAGAGTTTCAGATTATTCAATAAACTAAACTACACTATTTTGGTATTAACCTCTCTCTGAAGTTTGCAGGCTCTGAATCGTCTATTTCTAAATTCTTATGGAGAGATAAACCCACATGTATTAGCTGAAACATGCCTATAAAGGACCAAGGATAAAGGAGGACTAGATGTGCCTAACTTTCAACACTACTTCTTAGCCAGTGGGCTACATTTCATCTCAGGATGGTTAAAACATACCCTCTTGGCCCTGGCTAGATGTCAAACAGCCACTATGCAACAATATCTCTGACCTACCATTCATTAGCTCAAACAACAAACGACAGTTATGCTTAAAAGCATCAATATCAGATACTCTCTGACAGCATGGTGGGAGTTTCTAAAATGACTGAGTCTTCATTAATCCCATGGAAACGTTGGGCAGGTGCTTAGCATTTATATATGTATGCATGAGGGTGGGCATGCATGCTTGTGTCTGTGTGTGCCCTTTTGTCTACATCTGTGTTTCAGGTTGGGTCTTGGACTCAACCTCTCTTGGAACATCTTGGGCCCCCCATCTCCATCACCGCCCACCATTGCATTGGTGGTTCTCAGTGTCTGGGGCTGGGTACTTGGGTGTGGGGGGGCCCTGGATCTCAGGTCTCTGGGCCCGGGTTCGGTCTGCTTTGTCATAGCCGTCGGAGCCTGTGGGCTCGTTGTTGTGCGCTCGTCGTTCTGGTTCTTAAAGAAAATACGTTGCTTGGCAAACATTTCTATGCAAGTAAGAGTTTGCAGTGGCTCCACCTCTGTAAAGATGTGACCAGGGCCAGCGGGAGAACTCTGGCTTTTCACACCAGCTGATGAGTGTCACTTCAGATCTGGCTCATCATCATCATTATGACATTAAGTGTCATCGGCACTAAAAAGTGCAGATACAACTGTTGACAGCATATGCAGTAGATCCTAAAAGTACTCAGGCCTCTACAATTCTGGCACCTGTAAGTTTCACATTAAGTGTCAAAGCATTAAATTGAAATTGCTGACTTTTTCTGTAATGTTCAGCCTGAAATATGTAGTTTTAAGCCCAAAAGAACATCTGTGAAGATTCTAGTTCTGATTATCTTTGTGCTGTCACAGCATCATGGGGATGAGCAGAAACAAGTAAAGCTGTATTTGGTATGTTTTGCATTCCTATTGATACGCAAAGGCAGACTCTCACCCACAAAAACACATAGACAGTATGTTCTGACAGGATCTGTCATTTTCACACTTCCCAATGATTATAAATCAGGATTGAATAGCATCATGTTGCATTTGCATTTTGAAGTGACGGATTCAACAACTGCTCATCTCAAACATGCTAGAAAAATTTGTTTGTGAAGTTGGGTTTTTTTTGTTTGTTTGTTTTTTGTTTCTGAGAAGAAGAAAAAAAAGGGCCACTACGTTGTTTTCTGTTTGAATTTAATTTGACTCTGTTTAATGCAAAAGGGATCATGAATCTGTTTCTGCAGCACTGAGTGCTGGTCCATAGAAAGTCCAAAGGTCTGAGGTTTGGACTTTAGAGTGTACAGATCTTAAACGTTTGTGTCACAAAAGTTGTATATTGAGCAGTTTGGGGTTTTTTATGTTTCCCATCTAGGTCTGACTCTGCTGATCCCCTACCTTCTTACCAATAAGAAGCGGTGGAAGGAATGTAAGATCCGTGTTTTCATTGGAGGCAAGATCAACAGGATTGATCACGACCGCAGAGCGTAAGTACTGTACAGGCTGACAGTTTTGTCAAGACTGGAGAGTACTGTACAAAGGAATGAGTGTCTACCCTATGAAGTCTTTTATTCAGCCTTTGAAATCAAAACGATACTACCAAAAGCCAGCACTCCAAAAAATGTAAACAAAACCAAACTACCTAAAATAATAATAATAATAACTTTCTAATTGCCTTTTTAAAAATTTAAAGACACTTGTTGTTATAAGCAGCACTAAGTAAATAAACTGAATTTAAAATTCAGTCATATTGTTAATTACACTTAAATGTAATTGTTATTAAACATAAAAGGATTCATAACATTGGATGAGAACAAGAGGAAGCTGTAAATAGCCCCGGTGCTCTTCTGCCTTTAGTCTTTTGACTAAAACATCATTTAGGCACCTGAAGTCTAGTTTTAGTCTAGGTTTAGAATGCAGACTGCAGATGGAAATTAGTTGGTAGCTAAATCTGGCACAAAGCATCCTTTTCCTTTTTAACGTATTAATGTATTTTGTGCGTGGGCCCGTAAATACAATAAAATAAAATGAAACTAAATATAAAGGTATAGCATTATAATATTTAAGTGTGAAAGTTTGTTTTGATTTTTACCAACGAGAGGTGCCCCTAGGGGGGTGTGTGTGTGTGTGTGTGTGTGTGTGTGTGTGTGTGTGTTAGGAAAAAAGTAGTAACATTTCCTGGGGGCACAGCAAATGTGTGCGTTTAACCTTATTGCTCAAGGGGATTAGTTATGATTTGATGACTTTCAAACTCATTCACCTGTCTATACAATTTAATTAGTTCTATGTGGATCTCTTCTTTCGGGCAGGGTCAGGGTTAGTGGACACCCAAGCTTCTGAATGTGGTAACTCGAGAACGAAGCAATGTAGGAGTTTGAAGTTGATACCATAGGTGTATCTACTGAAAATCCAGACTAGTTTGAATCTCAATGACCTCAACCTTAGGGTCAAGGTCAAGTTTTCTGAAAACCTTGTAAATGCCATAATTGGAGAAGGAGGTCACCTAGGATCTTAAATAGATTTATAATAAGTTCATGAGTTTGGCCTTAAGGTCAGGGGTCAGAGGTTTTCTGAAAATTTAGCGAACGTGAACTTGAACAAGGACAAATTCGCACCATAGGCGCATTTATCAGGAGGCTGAGGGCGACCACTGGCCACCACCAGTATTTTTATTTGTTGATACAAGTGTCATAGTTATTGTCAAAAGAAGATTTTCGTTGACAAAAACTACGACGACAATTATTGGTCAACAAAATTAACACTGTTGCAGACACGAGGAAGCTGTGCTTTACCATACATGCTGTGCAGTTAGCAGAAAACACAGTGTAGGTATGCCTTTCCTTTCAGCACCACTCTCACACATTATAACATAAGGATGTATCCAAAAACTAGATGTCTTAAAATGCATTTTATATGCACAAAGTTCTAACCCTGACTGTTTCTGTACATTATTATAAATGTCACTGTTCATTTAAAGGCTGACATCCCTCCAGGTTAATGTAAGCGCATACAACGTAAAATGTACACATAATGTATACTGCAGCATTCAACACTGCATGTTTTTGACCATAAATAGGGAAACAATCACACAAAGCTCATATTAGCTATTAAATATTATTTGTAGTGATAAAAATTAATAAAAATCATCTAAGAAGCTGACCTGCTACATATAAATGATAAATTTGCCTTTGTACTTGCTGTGTGGGTGTATGCATGCAAGTGTGTGGGTGCTCGAAAGGAGCCATACCCACATTTTCTTAAATGGATTGAATTTTGTAGGTGCTAATATTACATGTATCTTAGTAAATATACCTTATTTATTATGTGTGCTTACAAAAATTGCTCATCCTGCAGACAGACTCCACCTCCTCTGACTTGTCTTTGTTATCCTCTTAAAAAAATAGATTCGCTCGACACATGAAGCAGTTCTACAACTGCTACAGGTTGTGGTTGGATTTTCAGTTGCAGCAGATCTCAAGTGCAGAACGAGGTATACCGATGCCAGCTCAAGACCAGTGCTAGAGTTAGTCCATCTGTTGTGGAATGAGAGACTGGAGAAGCAGCTGAATGAAACTGATGGCAGAGAGCTGGCCAGTAGGGAAAACACAGGAACAAAAAGGGCATGGCTGACAGATTAGCAGGCGCTGAACAGTCAGTCTGAATCCAGTAAAGTTTCAAATCAGTGAAGAAAATGTGATTGAGTTCATTCTCAAAAGTTATTCTCTGGGGATGATGTGAGTCTATCCCTTACCCCCATCCCTCCTGCCAAAGAAGTCAACACGATTTTATTGGCCGGAGAAAGTGCCACTCATTGTCCTGCTTTTGTCGTATGAAATTAGCTGGGTGTAGAAGCTTTTATGTTAACTTTATCTCTTACCAACAGACAGAAAGTAAAACCTGCTGTTTCCTACACCCTTTAAATGGATCGTTTTACTCTTAAATGATCAATGAAAATGGGGAAATGTTTCTGTAAACACGGGAAAAGCATAACTTTTTTTTCCCCTCCAAAGCTGGGAGTCCTGCCTGCTCCTCCTGCTGGAAAGCAGCTGAACTAAAGATTTGAGACAAAAATAAAACAAATTTGTTAAAGTAAATGAATAAATGCTTGGCACTGACACTGGAAACATGACAGTCACGTAGCCAACACAATAATAACGAGCTTGAACACGTAGTCCTGTAGCCCACGACACATAGATAGCAGATGATGCTCTCCGGCACCAAGTGTTTGAAACTAAAGCTAAAGGAAATTATTCTCATAGATAGAATTCCACATTATAAACCCTGTACCACCCGCTAGTGTTCAGAGTTATTCAAAGCAGCTTCCCGTGTATCCAACCAGAGCTTCTTGGACTGCACATGTCTTGTTTAACAGCTAATTTATAGTATTGATCCTACTTCTCTGTTTTTGACATTCCTGTTACAGGATGGCTACTCTGCTGAGCAAGTTCAGGATAGACTTTTCGGACATTACTGTCCTTGGAGACATCAACACCAAGCCCAAGAAGGAGCAGTAAGTCCACTTTGTTAAGCTTCCCACTTTGAACATCCTCCACAATTGTTAACGTGTATTATGTCACACATTCAGTATCTAAAGTGCCTTGAGGAAACTGTTGGCTCTATTTGGCACGGTATAAAGAAAAGAAAACTAACCGTTTTAATTATGTCAGCATTTGAAATTCAATGTTTAGCATGTTTGAGGACATTAAGCTGAGCTGAAAAGCAAATTACTGGCACCCTCATGTGGTCTGTGTGGAAAAGACGTGTGGCTTTGAGACCATGTTGATTTGGTTTGAACAAATGATGATTTTTAACAAGGGAACATTTTCTTAACATTAATAAATCTGAAGACTTTTCAAGAAAGTATCACAGTCCAGATCCAGACATCCGCCTGGGTCTCGAGACTTGGTAATTAGTAATTTCATTTTTATTCAAAACATCCATTTTTGTTCATTTCTTTGGTGAGATGATTTTGAAAATTCAGTTCATTTCAATTTTATTTATATAGTGCCTTATCACAACAGTTGCCTCAAAGCTTTGTGTAGTTACCTGTTTTACATGAGGATTAACCATGAAGCTGTTGTGACGCAGCATGGCAGCCTTCGAGGAGATGATTGAGCCTTATCGGCTGAAAGAAGATGATATGGAGCAGGAGGCAGCTGAGAGGCTGAAGAACAGCGAACCATGGAGGATCACTGACAACGAGCTGGAGCTATATCGTGCCAAGGTCACAAGATTTCCCTGCATATTCCATTTACATGCGTCTTTAATCTCATAAGATGAAATTCTTGAGTCAGTCAAAGTTCCATATGACTTCAGGGTTCAGAGGGATTCATTCTTTGATCCTCTGCAGCCTCATTCAGTTGTTCTGTAGGGAGAGTGGAAGCAGTTCAGTGTAGCTTATACTGTGAGCGACACTGCTGCCTCGAAGTCTGTGGTGCAGTGGCTTGCGAAAATGATCTTGTTACGTGATACCTGATTGCTTGATCCTGTGGTTGTCTCTCTTTAGACCCATCGGCAGATCAGACTCAACGAGCTGCTGAAGGAACACTCAAGCACAGCCAACCTCATTGTTATGTAAGCTTGGGTTGGGTGGGTGTGGGGGGTGGGTGCGTATGTGTTTTAGTTTCAATAATACAAAGTGGGGGAGAAAAAAACATGACAATTTAAAAAAGAAAAAAAGAAAAAACTTGAATGAAAATACTCGTTGTCAGCAGATTAGAAATACAAACCTCTTTTTACTGATGGCAACACCAGCTGGTTATAAGCTAACATTATGCAAGCTAATGTTGGGCGCAAATGTCCTAGAAATCACGCTTTCCCTCTGATAAACAGTTTGATTGCGTTCTCATATTATTAAACGGTTTGTTCAGTAAGCCTCAGAGGCCAGCGATGTTACGTCGTCTTCAAAGTTTCACACCAAACGGCAGCTGTCGGAAGCTACCAGAAGCTAGAACAGCAGCTCGACTGACTGTTAAAGCCCGAACCATGAAAATTCACTTTTTTTTTTGAAAATGGAGCATTTAATTTGAACAAATTAAAATAAATTAATCTTCATTAATATGAGTTTTATTTGTGCAATTTCAGAAGTGAGGTGGGAAAATCCCACAAGGGCTGCTGGTGTGGAGATGCTTTGACCCTCATCTTTGGGTCGCTCAAATCTTTCCTGCTACTTTGTTCACTTGCTCATTAATTTACCCCATCTAATAACAGATGACAAGATAACTAGTGCTAAAAAAATGCGGGCTGAAAGTGACTATTAACATTTGACCAAGTCAACAGGCAAAACTGTGATGAACCACATTGGAAAAGGAAGGTGGAAAGCTTGCTTTGGGCTGGCGGCGATAATGATCATAACAGATAAATTTGGCTTTTAGTCACTCTTTCCTGAAAAGGCCTTTTGTGGGTTTTGTAACTTTTATAAAGAAGAGTTGATACACATTCAGTTTAAGTTAACTTTTGTTAACTTAAAGACACTTTAAAACAGTCTACACAAGACGAGTGGCTTCAATAAGTGATGCTTCTACCTAATCCTTAAATGTGCAGTGAAGTGATGAGCTTTCATTCATTTGAATTGCCAATTCTTAAACAATTATGTGTAGAGATAACAGTACCTGATTTTTAGAACTTTTCTTATTGCTCCTTTTTGGTTATAGTTTCATTGCAGTCTCTTTTTCTTTGCCTTTCTCTGTGCAGAAGCCTCCCATTAGCCAGGAAGGGTGCTGTGTCCAGTGCTCTCTACATGGCCTGGCTGGAGGCATTGTCCAAGGATCTGCCTCCCATCCTTCTGGTGCGTGGCAACCACCAGAGTGTCCTCACCTTCTACTCTTAAAGGGGAAAAGCCGGTGATTTAAGTCACAGCTAAAGTCTAAAGGTCCACCACATACACTCCTGAGATAGCAGAATACAAGCCAGTGATGGAAACAGTGCTGAGTAATATGAATCCAATGAAAGTGCTATTTTTTTGTGTAAAAGTGCTACGTGTTTTGTGATGGAGGAATTTTATGTTGGGGTGGGTGCTGGTTGTAAAGTTGCCCACTCTTTTTCCTTTCTTTCTTTTTATTCCAAGATGTCTGGGTTATTCTCTCGTTGCTCTAGTTCCTTCTGATTTCCTCATTAAAGTGTCATTTTTGTTCAAGTTGATTTCTCTCAGGCTCTCTAAAGCAGGCATGCACAATATAGATGTGTTCATGATGTGGAATATATTGATGTCATACATTTTAAGTTTATCAGACCAGATGTTGTTTGCTCCAGCAATAATCACCCTGTTATGTTTTTTTTCCAAGTTGGGGAAAATGCTTTGCAACACCTTCTAAAGCCTTATGGATGTGCCTTCCAGTCGAATCGGATGAAACGGAATTAGAATCTCTATTCAGATTGACAATTTTAACAGAATTTCCTTCTTAGCTGTGCAGGTGGATTTAAAGTAGAATTTTATAAAGGGTGTCAATTTGAACACTCTTACAGTTTTGACCTTAATCACCAATATTTATTTGGGGCTTTGATTTTTATATTTTTCACTTTTGAGTCTTCCTTTGTAGAAGTTGCTGAATACTCATCACAACAAGATCCTTGATCTTTTAGACACAGTTTGTAGGGGAGGGGTGCATGTGGGCATAGACTTAAAGTCTCTGTCAGAAAAAATGTGAGGCTGGGTTTTTCTTTAGCCTTTTCAGGTGGATAAAATCTCTCCCTAGTAGCTGCCGATTACCAGCTTTCTTTGGTTCTGTGGCCACATGTATTGTTGTTTCGCTGTAAAGAAACTCTTCTACCCTTCAAGACGCTAGTCCAAACCTTGCCTTAATGCTAGAACTATACTATACTGTCACGATTGTCATAAGTTCTCGCTCCCTCTTAAGCCATGTTGGCTGAAGGGTTTGTGTGTAAATGCAGATATTCATCCATTATTAAGTCTCAGCGCATATGCATCTTAATCTGCATTAGTCATTTAGCCTCACTTCATTTAGTGTGCACTTGTGGCACATCCTTGTCTTTTAGCTTAATTATTACTATTGATTTTAGGGGTGACGTGGCATCACAAAAAAAAGCCATACATAGACATTTTCCAGTTGTAGTGTACTGTAGAGGTCACATGTATCCCCTGTTCTACTGTGACTGTAGAGAATATTGATTAACTAGCTTCAGTATGCAATAGTACAGCTGTTACTTTGGGGAGTGGTCACAGGTGTCGTCACAGAGAAAAATAACCCTGAGCCTAAAATCAATTCATAAAACTCATTGCATTTGAGTTTTGTGGGGAAAATGGACAGTAAAGTGAAAGTAACCCGTTAGCTTTTGTTAAGATTGCAAATGTTGTTATTAAAACAGCTGAGCGTAAACGGGTTGGTTGGAGTGGTTCTAGCATAGATGATTATTTTAAGTGCATTGCCCTAAAATTAGTCATGATATTTTGAAGCCTCTGCATTGTGTTGTTAAATACAGCAGAGATGCACAAGTCATTGTGGGTGGTCTCGTTATTTTGAATTAAACGGCATGGACTTTGGCTCATTATGATTATGGGTGAGAAACTACTATGAAGCAAATGAAACTTTACTATATGCAATTTAAAAGAAGAATGTGAGAGTGCTTAGGTTAGTTGAATGTACACTACACTAGTAGTACCTTTTGGTTTCCATTGTCATATGTATCATATGTTTCCTGCATATACTGCAGTTAGCACAATAGTGTTCTGTCTGTCGGCTTCATTGTGCTATTAGCGTTCATGCAGCACCATTGCCCACCACTCTGTTGTTCACATGGATTATCACTACATTAATAATCCATGTGTGTAATGTTTGCAGGGACTGTTGATAGGATTCAGTACAAACATATTATCTAGATCTATACTCTTACTCACCAGAGTGCTAAATGTAGCCGGAATAAGTTTTAGTTATGTTGAAAGTGTGGGCTTGGAAAGCACTGTTAGATCATTTGGAAGGCAGTCCTACATTGTAACAGCCTCAAATACCAAAATTCGTCCACACCACAGCTGGTGTTCATTCTAATCCAGCTGACACTGCTTTTCAAAATAAAAGACAAAATGTATCTAAAATTTGGTGTTCCTGCAGCTGAGTGCATCCCTGTGCACTGTAACTTAAACAGTGAAACTAAGTTATGCTTAACTCAAACTATGAAGTATGACTGAATATTTCTGTATTAGAGCAAATGTAAATGAATTTCTTGAAGACTAACTGCTAAGCAATACAATTAGTGAAACAAACTGCAGTTTTTGTTTTGTTTTGGTCTTTTTTTTTTTTGTTTGTTTTTTGCTGTGCATTTTGGGCAATATAAATCTGAGATTATCAATGTGGGCTGAGATGGGGATTTGGGGGCACTATTGTGTACTATAACAAAATAAAGGAGTGTATCTTTCAGATCTCTGTTCGTTGTTGTGTTGTGAGGCATTCACTCTTGTTCTCTTGTTGGTACAGAACAACATTATTACAAACAAGAACACGGGTTAAACCATTTGTATATTTAAAAAAATTATATTTGCTTATCTATCTATCTATATCTGTATCTATCTGTAATTATACACACACAGTTATATACATACATACATACATAATATAAAAAAAAACACAACACTCATGTATCAATTAGAGGGGTTCTTTTTCATGTCACATTAAACGAAACAAAAATACCTCCTATCAACGTTTTCCAGCCAGCTAATGGTGTTTGGGTGTTTCCCTCATTTGTCTCGATAGAGCCTAACATCTGTCTGACAAAATTACTGCATTGTCCTCAACAGATCGAATCATATGTACGTGTAAGTCGAGGCATTATTTGAGTTCTCCTAATCATTGTTTGTATTCTTTGCCATATTCCCTGTTCCTCCTAAAGCAGGCATGTTGTTCCATGAGGGTGGATTCTAATATTTCAAAAATGATGAAATGGTCCTAAAATCTATTGGTGGTTGACATCACTAAGTTTATAGTAAGTATAAACTAACATGTAAATAAACTTAATAGTATGTACACATGGAACATGTTGGAAGGGTATTTATTTTAGTTCAGACTTTTTTTTTGTCTTTTAATATTTGGAGTTTTGGTTGTAATTTGATTTGCATGTCAATGTTTTGTTTTTGTTTTTGCAGTTTGTTTCCTTTTGATTTTAGCAAATTGTCTTTCTCCTTGAGTCTGTATCTGTAGCCTTTCAATGAAGAAAAAGATATGATGACAAGCGGCTCAAACCAGTTTTCTCCTGCTTTAACTCAAACGTGTAAGGCCCAGCTGGTTGAAGCAGGAATGTTTTGATACTGTTAACAGTCACAGATATGCTTTTTCTAACATTTTAACATGTATGATTACCAGTACTTTGTACATCTTTATTGCAATAAATAAACCAAATGAAACCATTAACATCTGTAGTCTGCATTTGTGGTTTGCAAGGCTTCTATTTAATTCAGTTTTGTGTATTGTTTACTGAATTTTGCATAATGGATAAAGCTCCTAGAGTGTTAAAGTGAATCAGCGATCTGATCTGAGGAAGAAATCTCCTTGTGGGGGGGGGCTATTTTAGGTTTATTTGCTGTTGGGGGTTAATGGAGGTCTAATACTGTGTTACAGCAGACAACAAATTATAGGAAAAACTCTGCACAACTAAATCAATGACAGCTAGTGTATTTGTTTTTTTTTTTGTTAGAGAAATGTATAATAAACCCTCAGCACACTGTCCCGCTTATCGCTATTTTTATTCAGTTACAGTGTTTTGGTCCATGTAACTTGCATAATGTAATATAAAAAATCTAATGTATAAAATAATAACACTAAAAGTGAAAATACAAAACCATGAAGAGAGCAATAAATTAAAAAAAAATAGTTTTAAGATCCTTATTGTATTTATCGTAAAAGCTCTGTGGTATAAGATGGATGGGGCAACAGAGCTCAAACACCTATTGGTCAGGATTCGATAATTATCATTTCAACACAGGGCATAAAGCCAACTGTTTAACCCAAACAAATCTGTTCCCTGCACTTTGGGAAGAAAAATACAAAACGTTTGTCTTCTGCACCTTAAAGAAAGATAACACTTTGAGATGAAAAGTTGAAAAGCATTTATAGATTGAAATGTACAAGTACGCAGTTACATCTGTGGCTGGGCATCTTTATAAGTGCACCCTCACTCTTTATTTATATCAGTCTACCGCACCACATAAAGACAAAGTGTTAAATTTCAAGGGCAAATATTAATTATTTTCCTACATCATATCTTTTCTTCCTGGGCTTTCACAGTTTTTAAATAACACATTTATTAGATCACCAGCCAGTATAAATATAATCCTGCTGCTGCCCTAAATTAACATGATTAGTACTTACCAAAATATTTTATGTTTTTGTAATCACTATATAGCAAGATAATGGACCCTACAGTATTAGAAATCGGCATTTGTGGGAAGGAGGAACTCACTTTAAACAGGAAGAGACCTCCAGCAGATCCAGGCAAACCTTCACAAAACTGTGTGTTTTAGTGCATTTCAACTAATTTAAAAATTATATTTCAGCAAATACTTGACAGTTAATTAGAGAATGTGCTTTGAATTCACGACCCCCACAGATTGTAGCCAAAACATGTCCATTATGGATATGAAGCCATTAGGGTGAAAGTCAGATGTTTTTGTGGAGAACCACAGCTACTGCAACAAAAAGAAGAAGTACACAAACAATCACAATGATTGAAGAGATAATTTTACAGAGTCTTCTTCTGCGCTCTGCTTCTTTCCTCTTCAGTAAAGAATCAAATCCCGGTGTGTAGAGATCCTCGAGCCAGAAATCCAGATCTTTAGGAGTCTTGTCCTCTTCCTACAAAGAAAACAAAGATGTGAAACAGTGTATGAAAAAGTGCACCAAGATTCTTGTTGTTAGACATACAGTAAATATGTGTTTGTAACATATCTGCTCCCTTTAGCAGACTCAGGAAGAACATTTCCTGTGCATTAAAAAAAATAAATAATGCACCATTCTTTTCTGCCAACAGATGCCCCTTGACTACATGAGATTCCCGTTCTTTTGTTGCTTTCTTTCAAGCAGCCTGTGTACATACAAAGGCAAATGCTAATGCCTGGCTAATGAGGCTGACCTCTAAAGTTTAAGGCTTACCACCCAAAAAGACTGGCTGCTGCACCGTCAAAGAATAGTGGCACATAACTGTTGCACAGGCCGAGGGACGGAGAGCTAACTGTTGCATTAACCTGCATTAACATTTGCCACAATCGCAAGAGTAGCGTACCACTGGTCACTTTTGAATCTTAGGATTTCTGGCAACATGGACTACAGAAATAGAAAGGCAAATCATTTCTATGTTGCATCTTTACACACAACAACACAAACAGCATCAAAGTAAGCTAAATAATGACTCCTAAATTGAAGATTTGTGGTTGTTGAACGCCATAATTTGATGGTTACACATCAACTAAAAGTGTGCTGATACATTTTGTTCAGAAATATACATGACCACTGCAAATCATAGTGTTCTCCCAGAAGCGTTCCTTCCCCTAAACATGTTTATTTACTGAAATTGAAACAAAAAAGTTTTAAGTCAACACTTGATGACGGCATTTTTTTATTTTCCTTAATATTTAAAGTGCAGCTGGTAAGCTATAAGTTTTGGGGGCACAAGTACTGTAGTAGTGACTTAGCAAATATTGACTCAGGGGTGAAGGCACACTAATGCTAGCAAGACAGGAATGCTTTTAGTCCTTCAGTGGTCAGAAAAACTAGTGAAGAGAAATATATCACATTATGTTACAATATAAAAATAATCAAAGCCACCTAAAAGTGTAAGTATTAAACCATCACAGACATCATCTGGAAAGAAGCTCCAAGGGTTAAATGGTATAAATAAAAACTGGTATTTACACCAAAACGTGGGGATTTTATTGAATGAAGGACTTGTTGATGAGATCCAAAGAGAGTATATTTGGAAATCAACAACTGCAAATATGCAAAAATGCATACTTGTGGGAAAATGAATAAAACTGTTTAGATGGCAATCATCATATTAGAAGACCTTAGTCAGTGATTTTTGCTCAGCAATTGAGCCCTAAGCATTCACTTGCTCATATCTTCTTTATTTCTTTTGGTTCTTTAGTGTGCCTATACAATATATAAAATAAGTATTGAACATATCACCAATTTTGTAAGTAAATATATATATTTCTAAAGGTGTTATTGACAATACATTCTCACTAAATGTCAAAGAAATCACATGCAAAGAAATCAAACCATAGATTTCCATAAATAAAGCGGAATAGTAATCAAAGCACTTAACACAACTTGCTCCATTCGTCCAAGCACTGTTTTGCAATTCTGTTTCTATCTAACATCCTATAGATGCATTAGAGAGCATCTTTCCCAAGAATATTTGTTATGCAGACTGAAGCAGCCAGGGATCAAAACGCCAACCTTCCACTTAGCAGATGACCTGCTCTACCTCCTGAGCTACAGCCACTCCAGTAGTGAGAAGCATCAAGAAACATCTCATGATGGGTAAAACCAACAAGCCTGTTTAGACCATTGGAATCTTACTGTTGCAAAACATACTGATGGCATTAGTTAGAGAAGTATTTCTAAGCTAATGAAGGTTCCAGTGAGCACTGCTGGGGCCATAATCCAGAATCATGTCAACATAAACCAACAACAACCAAGCGCTTCTCATTAGATTTCACTCAGACTCTAATTAACAGAAGAGTTGTCCAAGAGCCAACGCCCACTGGTGGAGAGCTACAGAAAGACCTGGAATCAGCAGGTACAATTGTTTTAAAGAAAACAATAAGTAATAATTTACTTAACTGCCATGGCCTGTATGCACACTCACTACGCAAGACTCCACTGCTGAAGAATGTATGAGACTAGTTTCTCCATACAGAAAACATCTTGAAGATGCCATCACCAAAAGAGGCTCTTACACGAAGTATTAAATTAATTTCAGGTATCTTGGACAACTGTTTAATTTCTTTGCATTTCTGGATTGGATGGGTTCTTGCCATGACAATTTATGTCAAAATCCTTTTTAGAAATATATTTGCTTATAAAATTGGTGACATATTTAATACTTATTTTACCCGCTGTATATGCATATGCATATATATATACATGCACAGTTCTTTGTTTACATATATGCATGTCCTCCTAGCAAACAACTGCACTAACAACTGTTTTGTGTATCCAAACAAACATTAACCTTGTTAATCTTCCACAACCTTTTTACTTTTCTACAAATTACCTGTAAATATTCTGCAAGATTGCTATGGTTTGCTTGAGTGTCATAGTCCTTGACAGTCCAGGAAGGGTGTGATGTCTCATTCTGCTCAATCACTGATTTTACATCCATGTACAGAGGGTTCTGTCTGATGTTGGTCTTCAGAGTGGATGGAGT